ATAAAGCTCATGACAATTACTCAGTTAAATAAAAAACAAAAGTACATACTAATGACCAATCATATTTAGATAGGTCATGTAGTCAGTTCATGGCAGGCGAAGATTGAAGTCTGTCGTTCTCTGTACACACAGTTTAGGCTGTATGTGATGAATCCCCAAAATGCTTCCATCACCTTCAATAACCAGCCTTGAATTAGAGTTATGTGAAATAATTGTGAAACAGTCATTAATTAGTATTGATTTTGTGACCTGACATGCATAAGTGTTTTGCAATGGATGATGATGATGGATTTCTATTCAGATTAATTGCATTAGGATTTTCTATATGATTTAGTGGCCATTTTGGAAGACTTTCTTTTCGACGACATTGGAAGATACTATTGGTTCTACCTATATAGGTGTCACCGCAGCTGCAGGTGAACTTGTAGATACAGTTTGAAGTAGAGTCCACAGAATTTCGTCCTTTAATCGTAGGTACAGGTATCGAAAATGTTCGGCAAGTGAGAAAAAGAGATGCAGCGTAGAATGTGCGTGGACCCTATGGACTCTACTTCAAACTGTATCTACAAGTTCACCTGCAGTTGCGGTGACACCTATATAGGTAGAACCAATAGTATCTTCCAATGTCGTCGAAAAGAAAGTCTTCCAAAATGGCCACTAAATCATATAGAAAATCCTAATGCAATTAATCTGAATAGAAATCCATCATCATCATCCATTGCAAAACACTTATTCATGTCTGGTCACAAAATCAATACTAATTAATGACTGTTTCACAATTATTTCACATAACTCTAATTCAAGGCTGGTTATTGAAGGTGATGGAAGCATTTTGGGGATTCATCACATACAGCCTAAACTGTGTGTACAGAGAACGACAGACTTCAATCTTCGCCTGCCATGAACTGACTACCTGACCTATCTAAATATGATTGGTCATTAGTATGTACTTTTGTTTTTTATTTAACTGAGTAATTGTCATGAGCTTTATTTTATTATTGTTAACCATGCTAGTTGTAAAGCGGTTGTAAAGAAACTACGAAATGAAGATATCATCTCGCGAAATTTGTCTTCTTAATGCCTTATTCAAATTTATCAAAGGGAGTAATTGTTTTAATTTTCCCAAACGAAGGCTTCTATATATAATCAAGGAATTTCAGAAACACCGAATGAATTGCTCACAAAACTATATTTATAATGAAGTTTAAAGTTTATAGCTATAATTATGTACTGAACAGGTTAAACAAAATGATTTAATCTAACTAGTTCACTGTAATGATCAGAAGATAATATTATTGTGTAACGACAGAAGACAAAGGCCAGACAACAGATCGTTTTTTGAGAAAATCAAGAGATATTTATAAATTTTTATGTGCATTTTTACTAGAGTTATTGTTAGCACAGAAGCAACGTCTTCTGATTGGTTGTTTTCTTGTTAAAGGTTATTCTGTCATCTTTTTGTGGCCATTTCTTAGAAAGGCAAGCCATATATCTGCAAATCGTATTTACACACGTTAAGTTTGCTGTGATTGGTTGTTAAGCTCCTCAAGGTTATGCTTTGTTGTTGTTTTTTCTCATGACCATGATTTAGGACGAAAACATATACGTAAATTGTTGTCTACAATTTTGGCTAGCAGCCAGCTCTCACCACAGTTTAACTCTGGTCAGCTGGAATATCGAATCATAAGGCCTTAGTTATTTCGAGATTAGGCGATAATCGAGAGTGAATATGAATCTAGAGAAAAATAGATTATATCAGTCCTTCCAATGGCTCATAACCACCCTTAGGAATAATTCATCTGGATGAAAGGAGAAATCAGTAATAGTCTTCGTTTAACGAGTAAACACAATGCACTTGCAATGAGAATAATCACATCCATTCCATATAATTGAAGAATATTCGTTTTCTTACGATGAGTTAGTAAATGCTAAGAATATGAAAACTCCTGTCTCAAAGCTGTGGATGTAGCCCTCAGTTTTACTAATGTTTGTAAAATGACTTACCCTTCAGATAATTATGCAAATGTGTAATGCTGTTTTCCTTACAGTATGCCGTTCCACAAAATACTTGTACCCACTGCAGATACAGTTCGATATAACTTTATTCTGGAATGTACAGTACAGCAAAAATATCCTGCCTTATTAGTTGGATCAGTTGGAACTGGGAAGACATCACTAGCATTAAATTTGCTAAGAAATTTAGATCCAACAGAATGGACTAATCTTACGATATACATGTCTGCTCAAGTAAGTCGAGATTCTTACAGTTATATCATGCTTTTATGCATAATAAATTCTGGTCTATTTTCACGATATTACATCAGTTAATCAGTGATTTATTTTGCATTTCATTTCTATAGAGAATGAAATATTATGCGTATCATTAGAGTAAACTACCTCTCTCTCTCGTGTACATATAGTCACTCTATAACAGTGGAACACGTTAGTATCCCGGAAGCGGGACTCTTTCCTGGAAAACTGATGTACAGATATGGCAAAATACATATATGGCGTGTACTACTAACAAGGTTTCTCAGTAGTATATAGATACAGACATAATTACGTATCTCATTTGCAAGATTATTGAATAGCTCAGAAATGGATTTAATGACGAAGAGAAGGAACAGATGGTTCTTGTGGAACAACATAGAAAACATAAAAGGAAGAAAAAATAAAAACAATACAGAGAGCATATGCAAATTATGATTTTAATACATGATAGACGTACTTTGCCACGCTAAGCCACGCCGATGACGACAATACAGTTGAATAAAACCAGTGGCTATTAGTCCGGTTCTGTGCCAACGAAGACAACACTGACACATTTAATCAGTGACTAAAAGTGAAATGATGACCACTGGCTTTATTCAACTGTATTGTTTTCATTGACTTCTCTTAGCATTCCTTATACTCAATGCTACCATCCATTCAGGTGGATGTCTAATAGAACAACGCAATATTATTTCGTAACGGAATTCTTTATTTCCGACTCTGTGTACACATGCAGGCGAAATACAGAGATCGTATATCCAAAATTACGGTTTGCACATGTCCTCCTTATTGCACACTATACTGACACTAACTGATCCAATGGAGGTACGTCTCATACGGAGAGACTGTCCTTGAAATGTTTAATGCATTCAATGTTACCTGGACAGTTTTATAAAACTTAAAAGATACTGATTTGTAGAAGATGAGTGATTTTAGTTCACTGATTTCTCTTCGATTACATATAACTAGCGTTTTGAGTTATACATCAGGGGACTTGTAATCATCATTACCTTTCTTTATGTGGCAATGAATAATTGATAATTCACCAATGAAATTTATTGACTACAAAGTGACATTTTATGTTCGGACAGCTCGGAATTATTTCTTTGGATGAAACGAACGCATACTTAGTAGTTTTGAGAAATACAATTTCATTATTCTGGTTGTACTCTAAATGCAGTTACCTTAGAAGACAATATACTTTTTCATTTCGCTTTCTTATCGGTTGTTGCATAATGACATTCGTAACATATAAACAAAGCCGTCATAAAGAATGCCATTTTAATCTGGTACTGCGCGTATTTAATAACTATTGACCTCTGATAAATGTTACTCTTCAAAGAGAAAGTGGGATTAAAATCCATTTGCTTAATCCAGACCAATCAAGGAAGAAACGGTTAACTGACAGTCTTCTATAACAACTCAGTGACCATTGTCAGACAGAGAAATTAAGTTGTATCGTTTGCTCTCGCTTCTAATGTGCCTGGCGCAGTGATGCTGAAGAAGAGAAGAGGAGAAAAGCCACTGAGGAAAACTTTGATTAGAAAGAGATATCCATTTCTGTCGACAGATAAATACATCAGTCGAAGTCCTAGTGGGGAAAAAAAGATGCTGCTTTTTAGCCTTGACTTCGAAATGACATAACTGATAACATCATAAAAAGAAATCACTTAAGCAACCTGAAAACAGTATTCTTTTCATCAACTCATCGAGTAGTGCTCAAATATCACCTATTATTTTGTAACGTCATGAAAGATAGGATCTTTCTTTAAACCGTTATGTATTCATTTTAATCAAGGTGTTGAATTCATAGTCTAATTTCTATTTTTTTTATAATCCCCATTAATAACTGTGTACAACGTCAGCCAAGAGTTCATTTCCAACTACTTTTTAACGCTTTGATGGCCTAGCTGAATCACTCACTGTTCTATCTGAATATTTTTCATCCAACAGAATGCATAAGATTTTCTGTGTTTCTTATTGTTTTAACTGCCATTCAGTTATGTCCATGAGTCGTAAAATATACTCACGTAGATTTTTAATTGGTTTTTAAACTAGCGGTTATCATCTGACGGAGATAAAGGAAAAGTATGAGAAGGGATTAATCTATGCTTCAGGTCGAACAGCATTGCCATAGTTTGAAGATCCCGAATGAAGAGAGAACATTATGCATTAAATTAGGCATAGAGTTTCGTCTATTGCGTAAACATTTTGCCCACAATGGAGACATTATTATTACTATTACATCTAACATAAAGAACAGGGGGTTTGCTTTGAAGGTATAAAACTTATCTTTTGTGAAATGAAATATGACTGACTCTAGCTGTTGGCTAACAGAAATGGTCTAAGAGCTCTTCTTGTATCCAGAAGGTTCAGGGTTTGAACCCCAGTGGATGTGTACTGTTGAAGAGTCCTAAACCAGGTTGAAACAGTTGTCCAATACTACTACATTTTCCAATGGTTCTCTAACTGACGTCAGCTGGTCATCAAAACTGTAACCAACCAAATCCCTGCAAACCAACAGTGGATAATAGAATATTTATTTAAAGAATTTCAGAACTATATAGACTGAGGTGTGAAAATACCGAAGTGGATGATGAATTAGGTGAAATAGTTAACATAGTTATTCTTAACTTTTACTTATTTATTTCCTTCCCAAAAATGTAGACAACATCAAATAATGTGCAAGACATAATTGAAGGTCGTGTAGAAAAACGTACAAAAGACACATTTGTACCAGTTGGTGGTGAAAAGATGCTCACTTTCATGGATGAGTTTAATATGCCAGCAAAAGACAGTTCTGGTTCTCAACCGCCACTGGAACTGATCCGTCAATGGTTAGAATATGGATTTTGGTATGATCGTTTGAAGCAAACTAGGAAGAAAATAAAAGGTATGCAGTTGATGGTGGCAATGGGTATACCAGGTGGCGGAAGAATGGTAATATCTCGACGTCTTCAAGCCCATTTTCATCAGATTGCTGTCACATTCCCAACGGTATGAATTATTTTAAAGAATGTGTTTTAGTGAATAAATTTTCGTTTTTTTTAAATTGTAGATTCTACATTATGGTGTATTAAGGTTCTGTCGATTTTCATAAAATATTCCCACTTGCTTTTCTGACATCACTAACCTAACTTCCTTTACATTCCCATTGAAACATAGGGCTTCAAGCTAGAGGCCTGAAGTTTCGATAACAGTGGTGTTTATTTTTACGGATGGAGTTTCTAGCCTCATGCCCAACCTTCCCTCTTTACCAGTCTTATTACTGGCTTAGTGAGGTAAAGGAGTGCGTCGGTGGCCGGGGATCGGACCCGGACCACATGAGGCGTGGTTGGCGAGTGTTCTACAGTTGTGCCACCGACTCACACTAACCTAACTACCATACCTTAATAACACTGTTATGTTCCCCTGCCTATAAGGCTGCCTATGGGTCTCGAAAGTATGCTGTAATCAGCAAGGTGGTTCTCTCTACCATCGAAATATTATTTTGTAGAGTAGGACAGATTGAATCTTGATAATTCTAAGCATTTTTAGCCTGCACTATTAGATGCAGATTACAACCGATATGTTGTTACATTTTCCACTATGATAAAATCTGCAACTCTGTCACCGATTTATAAGGTTGTCAGTAACAATACAGTCGTGTATATCTCCGCTAAGTTTGCTTTATCTTTACTCTAGAATGGTCGGATAACTTCAGAACCAAGTGTAAACAACTCCTACTTCCTAATTATACATTTCTGAAATTGAGGGTTGATTAGATTACATTTCATTTGCAGTTTGACTAAAATATTAATATCTATAATATAAACCTGAATAGCACAGTGGTTATGTCTCCAGCTGAAGCACTAGTGACATAAGTTCGAAAATCAGAAGGGAAATAACTTTCTTAAAGATTTCAGATACGTTTTGCTGACTGGTGAGTGCTAGGAAACACAAAACCTAGGTCTAGGCAGCGCTTCCTTCGATCGTCTCCAACCACCTAGAATCAAAGTTATTGTGCAACGATGGTTCAGTCGTAGGACACTCACCGACCACGCACTAAGACCGAGGTCCGCCCCTCCCCCAGGCGCCGCACTCCTAAACCTCGCTTTTACCGATAGTAAGGCCGGTAAAAAGGGAAGGTTATGCGTGGGCTGACAACCCCACCCTGTAAAGGTACCAGTGCTAATTAAACTTCAGAGATGGAACTTGAAGCCTTTGTTCCACCCTAAACGCAAAGAAATAAGATAATATTTAAAAAAATATAAAGATAGGACTTATGAATAGAAGACTGAATTATCCGTGTTTCCAACGGTGGCAAACATTACAGTTACGAAGATGATTCTACTGCTCTACTGACAAGATAAACAACAGATCTGATTTAAATTTGTTGTCGACTCTATATATGATTGGTTACATAACTTGCTGACTTACTGATCGTGGATGAATTACTGAATCTTCTATCTATTTTGTTTTCTTTTCAAAAATCCAATAACCACTGGTAATTTGCTGGTTATTTGGTTGATCCATTTTAGAAATGTTAGATATCCTCCTTCAATGAAACTAAGTTTCAAGTAAGTTGTCAGTAGTACACTGACTGAGGTCCTCAGAATAACCAAACAGAAATAATGATTTACTGCGCCATTCAGAAGACACCTACAAGAGATGTAACTTCTGGTCCGAAATTATGTTAACTGGTTTTGTACTTGTGTGGCGAATGCTACTGACGAGATCTATCACTAGTAAGTATATAACGAGACGTTCATCGGCATAAAAACATCAAATGACAGGGAGATACATTTGATTTCAGAGAAGGCAAATGACACAGGAGACGTGAAAGAAACACAATATGAAGTCCAGAAGTACCACAACACGGAAGATCTTTGCAAATGCTGCGTTGCAGATAAGGTGTACATAATTTGGCCATATAGAGATATTAACATCCAATTAAACATTCATATACCAATTATTTAATTCAATTTTAGATTTTCCCGTTGACTGAACTAAATAATTAATATGACCTGTTGCACAAGAGGTGGCTCTCGTGGCCCAAGTGGTCTAGTAGATAACGCTTTGGCATTTGAAATTATAGGCACTGGGTTCGAGCCTCGGTGGGAAATCATCACTCATTGCGGGATGCAGGTACATCTAGCTGACGAGTCCCAAATAGGACGAAATGCACATCTGGATTCCACTGCTAGTCACCAACCCCAATTAACTTCATATACCAAGTCTTCGTCTTCTACCGTTTTACTGGTAATAGCCTTCGCCTATTTGAACTATACCGCTAAGTCAGCTCTTCAACAGCTTTTTATCAATGCATTATCTGTGTAACCGTTAAAATATTTCTGATTGTTGAGACAATAAGCACTAGAAGAAATATTTTTTACCTAGTCTAAAACTAGTTTTGAAGTATCTTCACTTCCATAGATGTTTTTCCACTTCGTTAAGGATGAAAAAACTAAAAATTGTTGAATATATCCTGTTGGCTACAACACCAAATACTCAGAATACAACGAAGTACATTACAATAGTTAAGATGATTTTAGAAAATCTTAAATAAATCTCAGCTAAGACTGACAATTACAACCTACCATCCTCATGTCTTTCATTTAGAGGAATCCCTTTATCTCTTTTGTGTACTGAATTCATATTAATTTGTTCACATTTTGAATATATCTATCAATACAGTGAGACAGTATTATCTCTAAAGATAAGCAGTAAGTGATATAGTAGTCAAATGCTTAAATGATTAACCTTTCATTCAAAATTTTACAGGAAGTCAATCTTAGACGAATTTATGGTACAATGTTAAGTCAAAAACTGCAAGATTTTGAAGATGAAGTTAAATCAATGGCAGATAATTTAACTCAAGCTTCCATCGATCTATACAATGCAGTTGTTATTAAATTTCTACCAACACCAACTAAAATTCACTATTTATTTAATTTAAGAGATATTTCCAAGGTAAGCTTTAATAAATATGACTATACAACAAATCTACATTGTTTTATTGATGACCTTTATGCACTGAGATAAACTATTGTCTTAAGTTTTTGATCACGAATTGATATCAGTTAGGATAACCGCTGAAAACAAGGAAGTATGGGAGGGCTGTTTCGCACCAGTTGGGGACTCTTCGATAGTACATGCCTATGCCCCCCTTCCAGTAGTCGAACACAGGACCTTCACGTTACCACGTGGGTTTGTTGACTCTTCACCCACTAGCACGTGAGTTCTAACTCCTGCTAGTTTGCTTTATACATCGAGACTGTTAGACACTGTCATAGAGAGTATCTGTCCTCTCACCCATCATAGTGGACTCCACTGATCACAAACTTCTACTAGAATTTCAGAGAACCAAGGAAGAAACATCTGTCAAGTTCTTCCTGTTTTTCAAAGGTTCTCTAATTGAAGTCAGTTAGTGGTGGTCAAACTTCAAATAAAATAAATCCCAGCGAACCAGACTTAAAATCATTGTTGGTAAACATATCCATTCTATGATGATTAGTATAAATGGGTGAATGTATCTGCAATATTTTAATTCATTTGAAATGATATAGTCTTGTCTCTTCAAGTACAAACAGAAATAGTTAGCCAGGTCATAGTTCCATAAATGGATAATTATTCTTCCTTGAAGTAAACACACTACAGTACTTGTGATTCAAAAATGGAAATCAAGAATTCGAAAGCGAGAATATTACAACACCCTACTCTCAAATGTATCAAAAATCTAGAAAAATGACTGAATATACAAAAGATCATTGACAAATGGTAAAAAATGTGGAGATTTACTGCCAAAGTGAGACCATCTTAGAATGCATAAAGCAGCTACCTACTGTACTAACATAAAATATTCCATATTTAAACCACTAGTGCTGCAAAAAGTAGTTGATTTACTATTCCCTTTCATTTATGACATTATGGAAATTAAGAAAAGTATTTCGTACGGGAAAGTAAATGACAATATTTACTTTATACTACTGAATAGTTGCTTCCATCTCTGTTCACTTACTCTGTTCTAGATTCCCGATAAATAAATAGTAAAGTAGACTTTGTCGAGAAGTTCTATCACAGTTTTTCTTCTTGAAAAATCGAAATATCTAGACCACATCGTTGATGAAGTCTCCCTCAAATGAACGAGACCATCTTCATCTGGTTGATAAGCAGTTGTGTTTAGAGGGTGGGAGGCAATCGGCAGGAAGGTTTGCCTGGCTTAGGCTGCGTGCATGTTGGCGCTTGTCAGCAAGGTGTACTTCTAGTCCTGGAGGATCTCGTGTGTCCTCTGAGATTTGAACCCATGTCACCCAGTGATATATTCAGAGACGTTGCGACTGAACTGTAGAATGTAATGAATAATTTGATTGGACACTATTTAGTAACTAGTATCATGCATCAAGTCCTTTGTTTGGTGCAGAAGGAATTCTGTCAGTCAGTGGTAACGTCTTTGATTGAAGCACTGGGTGACACGGATTTCAAACCCAGAAGGGACATGAATTTCTTCAAGATTGTAGATACAGCTTGCTAACCGATAAGTGCCAACATACAAAAAAACCTAGGTGACGCAGGGCTTGCTGCTGACTGCTCCAGTCATCTAATTACAACTCAGAGTGCAATGTGATGGCGAGTCACCTAACATGATGGCCACATTACAGACTTGACTGACAGAATTCACCCTGCACGAAACAAAGTACTAGACGTATGACACCAGTTACTGGTCAATCAGAGCAGTTATTGTTGACATGAGCGGTCATTAGCAACGTACACCATTCAGTGGTATGTATCGCGTTGCACAAGTCTAAACTAAATTATTTTTGTATTTTTATTGCAGTTAAAGTGTTGAAACCTTATCACTTTATTGATGACTGCCTTCTTCTATCTTTATTTGTTATAGATCTTTCAAGGTTTACTCCGATCCAGTAAACACTATATTGATACTCGTAATTCAATGCTTAGATTATGGATACATGAAGGATTACGTGTATTCTCTGATCGATTAATAGATGATAAGGATAGAACAACATATGTTGACTTGGTAGGCGATTCATTGGCTACACATTTTGATCAAACATTTCATGCTCTGTGTCCAGCTAAACAAGCACCTATATTTGTTGACTTTATGAATGCAGACGGTGCATATGAAGATGTAACCGATTTAGACAGATTGCGTAAATTTATGGCAGAAACCTTAAAAGAATACAATGAGTCACCTGGTATGGTACGGGTAGATTTAGTAATGTTTCGTGATGCAATAGAGCACAGTAAGTTAATTTTTTTTTTGTTAAATTTTCGATTCTTTCAAATATGACCAATAAATTGCACATGACTGAATAATGCTAGTAGGTGGACATAGTAGTTTTGCATTGAATCAAAGATGGATTTCATGATAATAGAGCTAATCAGTCTGAACAGTTGAATTTCTAACCCAAAGATTATAGGGCCTTTCAATCATTATTACTCATTTTTAATAGATGAAAAGGTTGTGCAGGCAGAAGATGTAGGATTACTGCACACCACGACGATTTGTCACGCCTAACATATACACATCAAGCAAAGTGTAGTAAAAATAATGACAATGAAATTAAAACCACACAGTTAAATGTTTTAAAAATATAATAGGAACAAGACGAAGTATGAATCTCTTTACGCCATACTGGTTTGAAGAAACTTACAAAATTTGATTCGGCTACAATTTCAACTGGGAAAACTGAATTTTCAACGTAGAACTTTACATTTCACGTTGACACTGTTGACTAATGCATACAAAATGAGGTAGCGAAAAGAAATGCAAAGAAGCTGTTGTAATCACAACAAGACCGAGATAATGTGATGTGAACTCAGGAAACCAAAGGAGGAGTTTTTCAGTATATCCAGCCAAACTTCCTGAGTTGCGCACAGTCTAAAATTATTCCACTAGTGTCATATGAACTCGTTTATATGATAGAATCTGTAGCATACAACAATGACGTTAGGCAGCTATACACATCAAGAATTTCTCACGTATAAAATAAATACTGAGAATCAAGTAGAACATTCCCAGCAATTTGTGATCACAACTTTTCAGTGAGAATAAAAACCACCAGACACTTCATGCAGAGAGACCAAAATCAAAGTTCCCACGCCATAGCCCAGAATTCAGTCGAACAAAACCACAATCGTAAAACAACACATTGTCAATGTCATGACACAACCCCAAAGAGGAGCATTTAAATGAGAGATTAAACAAGAACAAAGACAACTAATAAGGAATAAGTCAACAGGTGATATGCAAACGTCAGAGCAATGATAAATACAGCCTAAGACAAAAGGGGTTAATTATTATAAAGTAACTCGAGACATCCAGATTAGTATCAGTATTGTAAATAATCGTTCGGATAGGACTTTCTAAACAGTTATTCCATTGCAACTATGATAAGCGGATATTTACAAATAATTACATTAATTGATCTAGGACTTCATAAAGACTAAGTGCATTTGCACTACTGAAAACGATTTGAAGCCATGTTACCAACAGTCTATAACTGGTAGACCTTAACATCTCGGGACTCTAGTCAGACAGTCTGCAACCCTCTCCGTAAGTCAAACCAACGGTTAAAGACTTTATTGACTAAAATCATGTTTTGATTTGATCATTCCTAACTCTTTTCAAACCCAATTTTATGTAGGCTAGCACTGCTCCTCGCGGAAGGCGATGACTCAAAATGTGTAACTCATGACCTAGCTATCTCAATCAAGATAGTCCCACAATACCTGTGATTGACTTCCCCTCCTTGCATAACACTCTGCGCCTAATTTCATATTGTACCACTTAACACGAGAGACAGAAAAAAACACCTACGGCAAAAAAAACAGTCAGTCTCTTCATATCTTCCAATTTCAACAGCCATAGCTCATAACCACAAAGAAGGACGGAGTGAACTACTATGGAGGACACGTTCTTTCGTCCTTAGTCTCAACAGAATAACAACATTTCGTTTATTCCAAATGAGATAAATTATTGCTGTTTTTCGATACAGTTACGTAACATTCACGTCGCATTAGACTATGCCCTCTAAGAAGCTGATCTTTTAATGAGGTACTGAAAACTGTTGATGACTGATGATGATGATGATGTAGATCGTTACTAAACAGCCTAATGACATACATTCTGTATATAATCAGTTAATTACAAATAAACTTTGGAAAAAAAGACATCTATTTGTGGGTATATTTTCAGGTATTCATGATGTCAATAACAGTATTGTTTTTAACTTTTGTTTAGCATGCAAGATAGTTCGTGTAATCAACCAGCCAAGAGGTAATATGTTGTTAATTGGTATTGGAGGTAGCGGTCGACAAAGTTTAAGCCGTTTAGCCGCTTATATATGTGAATATAAAACATTCCAAGTTGAAGTAACAAAACACTATCGTAAACAAGAATTTAGAGAAGGTAAGTATGAGTTTCTTTCCTTCAGTAGGCATACTTGAATTTGTTATATTTTCAATATGGAAAATAACAATTAAACTCTGTCTCAGGATTTCATCATGAGCTGATATTAGTTAGAGAACCAAAACCTGGAGTACTGGACAGCTGTTTCGTCCTAGTTTGGGACTCTTCAGCAGTACGCACCCACCAGGATTCGAATCCAGGACCTTCCGATTACAAGGCGAGCTCGTATACCATTAAGCCACTGGGACCCGATCCAATGGTCCTTGAATTCTAACTTCTGCCAATTCACGACATAGTGCAACCGCTAGCCAATGTCTTCGGCGAGTATTTGTCCTCAACCCGACCGGCGGCACCCTACTGGTCACGACTTCCCACTGGAACCCAGGTAACTACCTACCTGAATAGGGCCAGTCGCCAGTGAGCATCTCATTGGTATCAAGTGATGGTTTGTAGGGATTTGATTGTTTCAGGATTTCATCATGAGCTGACATTAGTTAGAGAACCATTGGAAAACCTGGGAGTACTGGACAGCTGTTTCGTCCTAGTTTGGGACTCTTCATCAGTACGCACCCACCTGTCTCTTCCTACTTGATTCCAAAAAGTGCTTTAAATGCAAATTGAAAAGCACATCTTGATAATATAATACAAACTGTATTTCGTTATTTAATTTGACATAACTAAATGCAACACACTTCAAAAGGTAACTATAAATTGTCAAAACTTTAAGTAAATAGCATTAGAAGGTTTCCGTCTTTTCTCACCGCAGCCTTCCTATTCGTGTCATTATTTTATGCTATTATTCTTTTGTGTTCCTCTCGGAACACAGGGCTTCTACAACAAACCACGATTTCACTCTGTTCTCTGTAGTCTCCCTTAGGTGGCGCCAGTATTGTCAATAAGTTTTCATTTCCTCCTCCTTCTTCTTCTTCTCCACCTGACGCTTTGATGCTCAACTGGTCTATTTCCATTTGGGTTACACGCTAGGGCCTGACACATCATGTCACTCAATGATCTCTTCAGGGTATATCCGATTCATCTGCATTTTTTTTCTATATATTTGTTGAGCAATAGGTTTTTGGTTGCTGCATTTTCATGAGTTTTTTGTTGACAGTTCTTTCTGGCTGGCCATCTATTCTTCGACATGGAGCTAACGAAGGCAATTGTTGATAAAAGTTTTCAGTGACCTGTTGGAAATGCTTTTCGTGACACAGTGCAAGTTTCTGACTCGTATAGGTGAACTGACTGACTTAACATTGATGTTGAAGTTCGAGTTTTGAAATCGTCATCCTTGTTGTCACCAGCAATTGAAACAGTTCTGCTTGGATAAGTGACATCTTACAAATTTCTTCCTTTTGTAATGCTTGGTTGGTTACTTTCATCAGCCCCGTCTCCACCTTCCCTATGTGTCACCTGCAGTCCTGTCTTTAATGGCTTCTTCTGCCAATCTGTCGGTTTTCACCTGCAGGTCTTCGAGTTTGTGTGACATTAAACATAAATCATCCACGCGTGAAATCCAGATCTTCTAGAGCCTTCTTATCGGTTCAAGGCATTTCTGTCTTTTCATCCCCTGTGTACAGTCTGATGCATTATCCAACCCACCACAATTAGGAATATCATCGTCGGTGATAAAGGACAACCTTGTCTTACTCCCGTCTTCACTTCAGAGGATCTGCTGGGTTCTCCGCTGTGAATCACCTGACATGTGGCATTGCGGTATAGCCATTGAATTAGGTTGATAAGGAGTTAAGGCACGCCATGATGTTGATGTAGCTTACTTCACGGTCAACGCTCTCGAAGGCCTTTTCAAAGTTGAAGAAACTGAGGGGGATGTTTGACTGTCATTCAATGCTTTGTCCGATGATGATGATGATGATGCGTAGAATTGTAACTTGATGCGCACATGATTTGCTTTTTTCTTTAACCATCTTGTTCTAGGTGGAGTTCCGTATCCAGAGGAGCCTTTATTCTTTCCAGGATGATACCAACTTAGATTTTGTTTGGCGTAGAAAACAGCATGATTCCGCACCAGTTCTTGTAGAGGCCTACGTCACCCTTGTTTGGTAGTTTCACAAGATAACCTTTCTTCCATTCAGTAGGCAAATTTCCTTCCTTCCAAAACTTTTTGCAATAGCTGTGTCAGTATATTCACCGCAGTCTCTATGCCAGTATATGCAGTTTGTTATTATTTAATAACTAATCTATGTACCTAGTTTTCTTTGGGAAATAAATCAATTAAGGCAATGATGGTATCCCTTTAGACTCATTCACCGAATAAAAGTTGATATTTATCCAGAAAAAAAGGTGCTGTCTGCTTAGTAGCGTGACTTAAGTCACAAGTCATTGTCTGAGATGAACTTATTTTTTTTTAATCTTTCTACTCTACATTGTTAATAGATTTAAGGAAAATGTACTTCCAAGCTGGTGTAGAAAATAAACCGACTGTATTTTTATTCACGGATGCACAAGTATTAGATGAATCATTTTTAGAAGATATTAATAATATGCTAAGTTCAGGTGAAGTACCTATTTTATACAAACCAGATGAATTTGAAGAAGTTCGACAAGAGTTGATGGATGTTGCTAAACAAGAAGGTGTTGATGAATCAACTCAAGTAAGTTTGAGTATGAAACAGTTTATGGTGATCAATTTATCTTTCATTTTTATTGATACCCTGATAAAATAGAAAGTTTTAGTATAAGTCAAGTAATAAACGTATCAAGCTACATTTCAATATTCATGATTTCAAGTTCACTGATTCATTCGCATGATTCCACTATCATAGATGACTCTGAAGTTGAAACTAAGATGAATATTAAATCTGAATAAGGCATTAAGAAAACAAATTTCGCGAGATGATATCTTCATTTCGTAGTTTCTTTACAACCGCTTTACAACTAACATGGTTAACAATAATAAAATAAAGCTCATGACAATTACTCAGTTAAATAAAAAAACAAAAGTACATACTAATGACCAATCATATTTAAATAGGTCATGTAGTCAGTTCATGGTAGGCGAAGATTGAAGTCTGTTGTTCTCTGTACACACAGTTTAGGCTGTATGTGATGAATCCCCAAAATGCTTCCATCACCTTCAATAACCAACCTTGAATTAGAATTATGTGAAATAATTGTGAAACAGTCATTAATTAGTATTGATTTTGTGACCTGACATGAATAAGTGTTTTGCAATGGATGATGATGATGATGGATTTCTATTCAGATTAATTGCATTGGGATTTTCTAATATGATTTAGTAGTCATTTTGGAACATGTTCTCTTCGACGACATTGGAAGATTCTATTGGTTCTACCTATATAGGTGTCACCGCAGCCGCAGGTGAACTTGTGGATACAATTTGAAGTAGAGTCCACAGAATTTCATCCTTCAATCGTAGGTACTGGGATCAAAAATGTTCGGCATGTGAGAAAAAGAGATACGTTTGATGACTGACCGAAGTCTTTGAGCTGTCAACTGCATAATCTGGTTACCCTTGAACGGTAGGTTAATAAAGACAGCTTTCTTTGGAACAGAAGCTGTCTTTTCGAGATGTGGTCTATCCTTACTGTGACAATTGATAAAGTTTTCTGAATAACCATTAGCTAATAAAACTGAATGTATATGTCGAAACTCGTCCATCAATGTGTCACTCGTGCATATTTTTCGGGCCCTTGAGAACGAACATTTTACTAGGGAACGTTTATACTGGATAGGAACAAAACCGGTAAAATGAAGATATTGTCCATGTCTGTTTACGAAAAATAAATCGTTGAATCGTTCCATCATCTCTCCTTGTTATAGTAATATCCAGGAAACCGAGTATGTTATTCGATTCTAGTTCTTAAATACCTTGGATTATGTATTTTCTCTAATCTTTCCTGGTCTCTCTCATCATGTTGATTTCTAGAAAGATATTCCGTATAACATTCTACGTAAAGAAGTCAAGACAGTCTAATATCACTCAGTCTCTACGTTTATACTTTGTTGATTCTTGTATTTTACCTATGCTTCTTTATTGATCCTCCTTAATCTTTCCCGAAGTGCCTAAGAAAGACTTTGTTACAGCGCGAAGGGCTCTATAAGCTGTCAGTAGGGTGAGTGGGATGTCACTAAATCTGTAGTGAGAGCTGTCTTCTAGCCAAAAATTGTAGACAACAATTTACATCAATGTTTACGTCCCAAATCGGGGTAATGAGAAAGAAACAAAAACAAAGACTAACCTTGAGGAACTCAACAACCATCACAGAAGACTTAGCGTGGGTGGATACGATTCGCAGATATATCACCGGAGTGTCTAAGGAACGACAAAAAAGAGATGACAGACTAACCTTCAGCAGGAAAACAACTAATCAGAAGACGTCGCTTCTCCGATAACAATAACGAATAATAATGTACATGAAAATCTATAAATATCTGTTGGTTTTCTCAATAAACGATATGCTGCCTGGCCCTTGTCTTCTTAATACTGTTGTAGGTAGACCCATGCCAGGAATTACTGAATATAATCTTGTCACACCCTGAACATCCTCTCTATACACAACTCTCTCCGTGCATCTCATTAGGTAGAACTAGAAGCAGCTATAGACAACTAAGCATAGTAACTGTAGAGTACCTTATTTGGTACACATTTTATGTCAGGAAAAAGTGTAAGACATGACACTACAACTAACTGAGAAACATTAAGTAAACAGAACTTTCTTTTCCTTCTTTCATTGTTATATTGTTGTTCATATTTTCACTTAAATTTTAATCCTATATTCATATTCTTATTTGATAATATTATCAATTTTTTACTATTATTTTTTGTTTTATTCCTATACCTTCCCAGTGGAACATAAGGCTTCCAGCTAGAGTCATGGAGTTTCAGTAGCAATGGTATTTATTTTTACGGGATAAAGTTGTTAGCCTCATGCCCAACCAACATTCCCTCTTAACCAGTCTCATTACTGGCTTAGCTAGGTAAAGGAGTGCGTCTGTGGCTGAGGATCGAATCCTGGACCACATGAGGCGTGGTTGGCGAGCATTCTACCGCATTGTGTGGTTAGGCCACAGACGGACACATTATCAATGTAATGGACCTGTTTAATTATTACTCCTGTATTATGTAATGGGAAAATTAGATGCAATACTGTACTACATGTTGAAAATTCCATATTCGTACAAAAAAGTATTGTTTGGAATAAAGCTATTGTTATTACTGTTCAAAATGTGCAGTCATTTCATACGAAGCAAAATGTGTATTGAATTTTACATGGAATTTGTTTATGACTTGAATAGAAAAACTTTTTTTTACCATTTATGCATTCTGTAGTCAAATGTACATCGTGAAGGTATGTTGGCTGGAAGACTGTTGATAAGCAGTGTGGTCTGGATCTAAAAGTCAGTTAATTAAAACTAGTACTAATTTTTTGATAATATTATAACCTCTTTACCTGACCGAATCATTTGGTTACAAAAACGGAATGGTGTTGAGAATAAATATAAGGCATATACAATTCTGCCATGTAAGGAGGGGACGTCTAAGACCCTACGTAGGATTCTTAAAAAAGCACGAACTAGAGTGGCCTACAAACTCACTCAGGAACAAGCTCTGTATGTTAAAGGACCTTGTAGGTTGATCCAATTAAACAAAATAATATGATTTACAAAATACCCTGCAATGACTGTGAGCTAGGTCAGCTACATAGGTCAAACTAGTAGATCGAGGGTAGTCAGATTTTATTTTTTTTTGGTCGGAACATAAGAATTTAGCTAGGGTAAGAATCATTGATCCTACGAAGGTAAGTAATTTAGAAAAAAGCTCAGCGATTGCACTGCATGCATTAACATACAACCACACAATAAGGTGTGTGGAAGAGGGTTAAAATTCTAAGAAGTAATACAGATAGGTGGAGATAGGTTGATTACTGAATCCCACCATGTTAATGGGAATGACTCATTACTCATACCAGAAATATGGAAAATATTACTACCAATCAAATCAAGCGATGAAAAATAGTGGAATTATATAAACGGAGTTAGATAGTTGTGTGAGCATCTTGATATGATTATGAGCGGCAATAAATTGTGCTCGAAACATGGTCATCAGTAAATATTACTGCATAACATCCACAATGGAATTATACTCTGCCACAGAGCACAAATTATATTCTTATATCAGTAAAACTGTTGTACGTTAACATTACCAGCTATAAACAGAACAAAGTAAGCATTGAACTAAGATCACAACATTCATGACTGGGAAGAGAAATGAGTTAGGATTTGGGAATTGAGGAGAAATTACAAGGTAACTGTATCTGCAGTATTATGACATATTTCATCTGGACTATCTTATTTCCTACCTCATCACATGGCCAGAAATATCCTAGTGGACTGACGTTTTTGATATGAACTAATTGAACATACATTACATTGACACTGCTTGTCTATTAGGCACAATTTTTAACAATTATTAATTGTCGTTTCTAAATTTATCCACCTCTCATACATAGTCAATATTCCGTTTCTTCATTGAACGTGTACGAGCCAACTTGCATATTATTTTATGCATGAGCCCAATTGGTGAACCATTTCGTAATCGTATTCGAATGTTTCCAGCCTTTGTTAATTGTACTACAATTGATTGGTTTAGTGAATGGCCACTTGAAGCTTTATTAGAAGTAGCTGAGAAATATTTATCTTCTGTTGATATTAATATTAATGAACCAGATGTAAGTTTTTTAACTTTTTTTTCTTTAGTATTTATTACATTTTGTATGCATTGAATGTATCCTATATATGTGATATATGAGACTATAAAAGTTAGTTCTGCCTGCATCCTCACTGCACCCTTCAATACTACATAAAGGTTATTTTACAGTTGGTGGTTTCTAACACTGTATCCCAGTTAGCTATCTTTCTGATAGGACCCAGAATAAAATAGTATATCATCCTCTCTCACGAATCGTGTGATTTATCTTGGGATGGAGTTACTATGTAAATGTATTATTTGTCACTCATATTGTGATTTAGTGTGTGATTAATTCACATCGTCTTTTGTTTCACCTTGGTCTTTGTCGCATAACCAACCAATCAGAATAGACATTCCCAGCCAATAAGAACAGTCCATTCTCACGGCTGTGAGTCAACTGTATTGTGATGAATTAAATATTAGGATCTGATGTTTGTTTCCTAATAGATAGTATAATACAATATCTTACAGTCTCAGGCCAACATTGTCTTTTGATAATTGAGTGGCTCAGTGAATCGGATGATACAACGAACGAATAGACACGTATTACCGTACTAGTCGAGTTCATTACCGTTATAATAATTAACAGGCACAGATATAACAAAGTAGAAACGGGGCTATTCAGTTCAGCATCACTTATAACACTTTCATTATTGTTGATTCTTTCATTGAATTTTTTTTTATTTTCCCGTCGATTGATTGGACCGAAGTGCTCGGTCTCAGGTTGACATGTCGGCTTCTTGTGCAGATGCTTCGACAATGTCTGGGCATTTAGTATTTAATTGGTGGATGGTGACTAGCCGACATGTCAACCTGAGACCGAGCACTTCGGTCAATCAATCGACGGGAAAATAAAAAAAAAATTCAATGAAAGAATCAACAATAATGAAAGTGTTATAAGTGATGCTGAACTGAATAGACCCGTTTCTACTTTGTTATATCTGTGCCTGTTAATTATTATAACGGTAATGAACTCGACTAGTACGGTAATACGTGTCTATTCGTTCGTTGTATCATCCGATTCACTGAGCCACTCAATTATCAAAAGACAATGGTTGGCCTGAGACTGTAAGATATTGTATTATACTATCTATTAGGAAACAAAACATCAGATCCTAATATTTAATTCATCACAATACAGTTGACTCACAGCCGTGAGAATGGACTGTTCTTATTGGCTGGGAATGTCTATTCTGATTGGTTGGTTATGCGACAAAGACCAAGGTGAAACAAAAGACGATGTGAATTAATCACACACTAAATCACAATATGAGTGACAAATAATACATTTACATAGTAACTCCATCCCAAGATAAATCACACGATTCGTGAGAGAGGATGATATACTATTTTATTCTGGGTCCTATCAGAAAGATAGCTAACTGGGATACAGTGTTAGAAACCACCAACTGTAAAATAACCTTTATGTAGTATTGAAGGGTGCAGTGAGGATGCAGGCAGAACTAACTTTTATAGTCTCATATATCACATATATAGGATACATTCAATGCATACAAAATGTAATAAATACTAAAGAAAAAAAAGTTAAAAAACTTACATCTGGTTCATTAATATTAATATCAACAGAAGATAAATATTTCTCAGCTACTTCTAATAAAGCTTCAAGTGGCCATTCACTAAACCAATCAATTGTAGTACAATTAACAAAGGCTGGAAACATTCGAATACGATTACGAAATGGTTCACCAATTGGGCTCATGCATAAAATAATATGCAAGTTGGCTCGTACACGTTCAATGAAGAAACGGAATATTGACTATGTATGAGAGGTGGATAAATTTAGAAACGACAATTAATAATTGTTAAAAATTGTGCCTAATAGACAAGCAGTGTCAATGTAATGTGTGTTCAATTAGTTCATATCAAAAACGTCAGTCCACTAGGATATTTCTGGCCATGTGATGAGGTAGGAAATAAGATAGTCCAGATGAAATATGTCATAATACTGCAGATACAGTTACCTTGTAATTTCTCCTCAATTCCCAAATCCTAACTCATTTCTCTTCCCAGTCATGAATGTTGTGATCTTAGTTCAATGCTTACTTTGTTCTGTTTATAGCTGGTAATGTTAACGTACAACAGTTTTACTGATATAAGAATATAATTTGTGCTCTGTGGCAGAGTATAATTCCATTGTGGATGTTATGCAGTAATATTTACTGATGACCATGTTTCGAGCACAATTTATTGCCGCTCATAATCATATCAAGATGCTCACACAACTATCTAACTCCGTTTATATAATTCCACTATTTTTCATCGCTTGATTTGATTGGTAGTAATATTTTCCATATTTCTGGTATGAGTAATGAGTCATTCCCATTAACATGGTGGGATTCAGTAATCAACCTATCTCCACCTATCTGTATTACTTCTTAGAATTTTAACCCTCTTCCACACACCTTATTGTGTGGTTGTATGTTAATGCATGCAGTGCAATCGCTGAGCTTTTTTCTAAATTACTTACCTTCGTAGGATCAATGATTCTTACCCTAGCTAAATTCTTATGTTCCGACCAAAAAAAAATAAAATCTGACTACCCTCGATCTACTAGTTTGACCTATGTAGCTGACCTAGCTCACAGTCATTGCAGGGTATTTTGTAAATCATATTATTTTGTTTAATTGGATCAACCTACAAGGTCCTTTAACATACAGAGCTTGTTCCTGAGTGAGTTTGTAGGCCACTCTAGTTCGTGCTTTTTTAAGAATCCTACGTAGGGTCTTAGACGTCCCCTCCTTACATGGCAGAATTGTATATGCCTTATATTTATTCTCAACACCATTCCGTTTTTGTAACCAAATGATTCGGTCAGGTAAAGAGGTTATAATATTATCAAAAAATTAGTACTAGTTTTAATTAACTGACTTTTAGATCCAGACCACACTGCTTATCAACAGTCTTCCAGCCAACATACCTTCACGATGTACATTTGACTACAGAATGCATAAATGGTAAAAAAAAGTTTTTCTATTCAAGTCATAAACAAATTCCATGTAAAATTCAATACACATTTTGCTTCGTATGAAATGACTGCACATTTTGAACAGTAATAACAATAGCTTTATTCCAAACAATACTTTTTTGTACGAATATGGAATTTTCAACATGTAGTACAGTATTGCATCTAATTTTCCCATTACATAATACAGGAGTAATAATTAAACAGGTCCATTACATTGATAATGTGTCCGTCTGTGGCCTAACCACACAATGCGGTAGAATGCTCGCCAACCACGCCTCATGTGGTCCAGGATTCGATCCTCAGCCACAGACGCACTCCTTTACCTAGCTAAGCCAGTAATGAGACTGGTTAAGAGGGAATGTTGGTTGGGCATGAGGCTAACAACTTTATCCCGTAAAAATAAATACCATTGCTACTGAAACTCCATGACTCTAGCTGGAAGCCTTATGTTCCACTGGGAAGGTATAGGAATAAAACAAAAAATAATAGTAAAAAATTGATAATATTATCAAATAAGAATATGAATATAGGATTAAAATTTAAGTGAAAATATGAACAACAATATAACAATGAAAGAAGGAAAAGAAAGTTCTGTTTACTTAATGTTTCTCAGTTAGTTGTAGTGTCATGTCTTACACTTTTTCCTGACATAAAATGTGTACCAAATAAGGTACTCTACAGTTACTATGCTTAGTTGTCTATAGCTGCTTCTAGTTCTACCTAATGAGATGCACGGAGAGAGTTGTGTATAGAGAGGATGTTCAGGGTGTGACAAGATTATATTCAGTAATTCCTGGCATGGGTCTACCTACAACAGTATTAAGAAGACAAGGGCCAGGCAGCATATCGTTTATTGAGAAAACCAACAGATATTTATAGATTTTCATGTACATTATTATTCGTTATTGTTATCGGAGAAGCGACGTCTTCTGATTAGTTGTTTTCCTGCTGAAGGTTAGTCTGTCATCTCTTTTTTGTCGTTCCTTAGACACTCCGGTGATATATCTGCGAATCGTATCCACCCACGCTAAGTCTTCTGTGATGGTTGTTGAGTTCCTCAAGGTTAGTCTTTGTTTTTGTTTCTTTCTCATTACCCCGATTTGGGACGTAAACATTGATGTAAATTGTTGTCTACAATTTTTGGCTAGAAGACAGCTCTCACTACAGATTTAGTGACATCCCACTCACCCTACTGACAGCTTATAGAGCCCTTCGCGCTGTAACAAAGTCTTTCTTAGGCACTTCGGGAAAGATTAAGGAGGATCAATAAAGAAGCATAGGTAAAATACAAGAATCAACAAAGTATAAACGTAGAGACTGAGTGATATTAGACTGTCTTGACTTCTTTACGTAGAATGTTATACGGAATATCTTTCTAGAAATCAACATGATGAGAGAGACCAGGAAAGATTAGAGAAAATACATAATCCAAGGTATTTAAGAACTAGAATCGAATAACATACTCGGTTTCCTGGATATTACTATAACAAGGAGAGATGATGGAACGATTCAACGATTTATTTTTCGTAAACAGACATGGACAATATCTTCATTTTACCGGTTGTGTTCCTATCCAGTATAAACGTTCCCTAGTAAAATGTTCGTTCTCAAGGGCCCGAAAAATATGCACGAGTGACACATTGATGGACGAGTTTCGACATATACATTCAGTTTTATTAGCTAATGGTTATTCAGAAAACTTTATCAATTGTCACAGTAAGGATAGACCACATCTCGAAAAGACAGCTTCTGTTCCAAAGAAAGCTGTCTTTATTAACCTACCGTTCAAGGGTAACCAGATTATGCAGTTGACAGCTCAAAGACTTCGGTCAGTCATCAAACGTATCTCTTTTTCTCACATGCCGAACATTTTTGATCCCAGTACCTACGATTGAAGGATGAAATTCTGTGGACTCTACTTCAAATTGTATCCACAAGTTCACCTGCGGCTGCGGTGACACCTATATAGGTAGAACCAATAGAATCTTCCAATG